TGGGTGCAAGGTGACTGGGTACCCTTAACCAAGGGGGCACTGGGGCAGAGGGAAACTTTGGGCATCATGCGGTAAGGGCTTCATGTGGCGTTAAGCCATTGGTCATAACTGTAGGTTAATATTAATCTGTATAGTTAAATTATCAAATCAAACCAAAAAATGAACAAAGTAAACTGGAAACAGGATTAGAGACATTGCTCAATATTGCTTGCGACAAGTTGTGCCTGCTATTGCGGCATGGTCAGGTCCCTGAGTCGAAGGCACAAGTCTCTCCCTGCACAAAGGGTATAGGGTCCCAGGTTGTGGGTGAGTGGGGGCTCGAGGACATCCTTGGTATCAGAGTGAGTTCCAGTGTCCATAGTAGAGACAAAGCTTCTTGGGGAGTGGAGGCTTTGAAAGCAGCTTCATTGTATTTAACAGACAAGAGTCTTGGAGCCATCCAACAGTAGCCTCCTGGAGTCGGTTCGTAACTGTGTGAAAGGATCTCCGCCATTGAAGTGTAGCTCTGGTGATGTCTTGGAAGATGGTGATTTGCGTAGATTCTAATGCGTATGGAGTCTTGCCTTGCAGGGCCGCCATAATATGCCGTTTGTCTTGGGTGGATGAGCATCTGGCTATGATGTCCCCTGAGACTGATACTGGTGCTTGTGGAGATTTATTAATGTGGTATACGCCATCTAAGACAATCTTCTTCGCTTAAATCAGAGGTAGGAGTGAAGATATCAGGTGGCGCAGTTAGTGCAACAGTTCTGCTGCTGGAACAGCATCAGAGTTAACCCATACCTTGATTTTGCAGCACCTGCTCTAATCTTCTAAGAAATCCATCTGCACTTTGAGAGTATTGTGTGAGTGGCATAGGCCCTGTAGTGAGTCTTGCATAGTAGACATGTTTGTCTTGTTGTCAAGGATGTCCTCAGAGGATCTGACCCTGTCTGTGACTGCTTTGATTTCGGTCTTGACTACAGCAATGTCTGCAGCAAATCGTGTTTGAAATTTTCTGAAACAAGTTTGGGGGCTGTGTGGTAGGGTGATGCAGCGTGGTGGACTTTATATTCGTCTGGTTATACCCTGCGATCAATGACCTCCACAGTATGGCGGCTGCTCAGTGCCACCGCAAGCCTTGCCCACTGACAGCATATCATTTTTAAAAGTAGGCAACACAGGGTATTCCAAATGGTGTAATTTGACATGTTTGGTTTTATTACAAATGCAAGCCCCATTTAGCGGTTACACTTTTATTTGTCTTTTTTTACACACAAATTCAATTTTCACAGTACATTTCATAATCCTGTTGTGCGCTCGTGTAATAAAGCATCAATATTTTACTTAGCATCTCCAGGATGGCATATAATTTATTATTTTAAGGTAGGCAACCCAGGTTATTCCAAATGGCATTATTTGAGTTGCCACTTTATTACAAATGCTGGCCCCATTTAGTGGTCATATTTCTTTTATAAGTGTATTAGTACAATAAAGTCAATATTTTTGTGTTTTCAGTAAAACATTGCATATGCATATTGTTGGGGCAGCACTTGAAAATGGTAGCCTCCTATTATGTAGCATTTAGAAGAAGGTGTATAAGATTAAGCAATTAGGCAATGAAGAATTCTACAGAATATGTAATATACATACTGAAGGGCAACCCTTTTCATGTGTTTTCATAAATGACAAAACTATGTGTCTCTGAAAATATGGTGGATCTTGTCACCCTGTTTAAAACATTTTTAAAATTATGCCATCTGAGTTATTCAATCAAATCACATATTCTAAGCACAGACTCTCATACAGGCAAACTTAAGCATCAGGGCCGATGCAAGGATTTTTGGCTACACTGGCAAAGTAGCATTTTGTCTTATGGTGCCTACAGTGCTCCTTGAATTGACTCACTTGCCAGGAATTTAATAAGAGCTGAATAAAAGCCCATGGGGGCACACCCAGAACATACTTTTTTTGGCAGTGGTGCTACTTTAAAGAGCAAATGTATACAAAAAAAAAAAATAAATAAAAAAGACAGCGCACAAAAAACACATACAAAAAAAAATATATGTTTTACAAGGCTACTTAATATTACCGATCTTAGAAAGCAGATATGGGGACTTGTTTATGCCATGTGGCTATTAGATATGTGCATTACTTTCTAATCGAATTTTGGACAAATTTGGCAATTCAAACCGTCCGAATTTCTGAATTCTTACACAATGAAATGAACCAAAAAAGGAATTCCAAAAGATTGATTTAATTTTTTTTTTAGCAAATTAAGCAACGGAAACAAGAAAATGGCTCTTATTTTTGCTATTTCCACTGTTTAGTAGATGGCTTCTTGATTTGCCATCTTTATGTGAGATTGCCATAGTTAAGGCTACCAAATTAGGGTGCTATTGAGTTTAGTAGATAACTACTTTGGTACCCTTAAAATAGCAATCTCAAATAAGGATACCATTATGAAGCTATCTACTAAACAGCTGAAACCAAAAGAATATCTACTATCTTCTATATCATTATTACCTTATTTAGCTTCCACAATAAAGTGATACAGAATGGTGGTAAATACCTGTAATGGCATTCCAGTAAAAGCAAGAGGCTAGCAATGCTACAACAAGATTCTTCCAGTGAAAGTGCTGGAGGTCAACAGTGAATGTATGACTCCATGTATATAGAATGTATAAAACCCTAATTTGATATCTTTTGGAATACTGGCATACAAATTCCATTTCCGGATAACCTGAAATTGTAAATTAAAAAAAAAAAAACTAACAAAAATGTTTCATCCCTCCACATGTCTAATGGCAGTGTAATCTGGAGTCCATTACTGTGAGAATTCAAGGTGAATACAAGAGAATTTCAAACTTAGGATCAGAACTGAAAAAAAAAAGTAATAAGTAAGCTATTCTTTCCATTCAGCTATTCTTGCCTTAAAAGCTGAAATTCACTTTAGTCGCTTTAGTACATAACCCTTAAAATCACAGTACCCCAGCATTAGTGGGTCCTAAGCTGATTTTAACATGGGAGATAAACCTGCAATATACAACTTCATTACTGACTGCTTAAAACAACTTTCAGCAGCTTTTGGTCACTGTTGCTTAATCTCCAACACCCTGTCCATACATATTCTGCATAATGATGCAGGGCAAAAAAACAAAAAAAAACAAAAAACAAAAACAGTACAAATATTATTTGTGCTTACCATTGCACAAATATACAGACATGCTAAATATAACTTAATGCAGGTATAGTTAAGTAATCATAACAAAGAATGCCAGGAGAGGACACTGGTATTTCCTGGTCTGCTTATGCAAACAAGGTTTGATCAGCAGATCCGTCTATTACAAGATGAGACTGTATGCCAATGAGTGATCCCAGACACACTGTCTGGAACTTACAGCTTTTATAAAATGATTCATTGAGTTGCAAAATTTCATTAACATGCCAACAAAATTCTGTGACCTGTAGGCATCCTTATTGTCCTTAGAATATCTAGTATGGACAGATGAACATTATTTAGAAACTAGGGAATGTTAATTTACATTTGTTTGGATTTCTTCATCGTCAATAAATGATTTAACCCCTTAAGGACACATGACAAATATTCCGTCATGATTCCCTTTTATTCCAGAAGTTGTGTCCTTAAGGGGTTAATTATAGGGTACAATAGACTATGAAGTCAACCTTTTCTCTGATGGAGTAGGCATTTAAAAGGGTTTAGTTTCTAATATACAAAACATTTTAAATTGCATTTTTTTTATTATTGGAACACTCCAAGCTCCATAAGCACCATTAGCCTGTTTTAGTGATTATTGTGTCAAATATGCCTGGTGTTCTCTCAAGGTAATCATATAATTGTATTCACCTTTTATCCTTGCAGGTATTGCTGAAAAAGCTTTTCCGGATTTAATTTCCTTTAAACAGATATGTGAAATGTTTGACTACAAAACCTGTCAAAACACACACACACACACACACACACACACACACACACACACACACACACACACACACACGTAAAGGAGCAATATATTCGCAATGATTTAATTCTTTCTAACAGTTGGTCCCCCATGACTTCCACATTAATCAAATCACATTAGCACAATGTGACAAACACACATTATACAGTACATTATTCTAGAACAGTAACAATTAAAAACAGATATATTTTTTAATTTTTGTTTTATTGGACAAACTTTAGAGAACTCTGCACCTTTTGAAAAGTAGCAAAAACAAATATACACCTTATAAAAACCACATTTAAATAAAATAGTTTTGGAGGTAGTGTCAATTATTACATATTAAAATTTGCAGTCCTGATATACTAAACTTTATAAATTTGTGACAAAAAAAAAAAAAAACCTCTTCATGAAGTTATCAATATCACAAGTTGATTGGAATCCTAGCTATATAGAATATTTCTAAAATCTATTTTGCATTTTAATGTAAAAGTCGATAGAAATGTAAGCAGAATTAATGCTTTTTTTTCCCTCATTTATTCTGATGTGTACAAATGCATTTAATGTGAAAGTATGAAATCATAGTAGAATAAATGTGTGAAAATGGCAAAAAAAGATTCAGTAAAGGTTAAATAAATTTTTAATAAACCAATTGTTATAATCTATGTAACAGTTGAATTAAATAAAATTATATTCAAACCTTCACAATCAAATACATGTTTAAATCAAATTAGGGGATGAATTGGGAGGTGGGTAGGGCTGGATATGAAGTGAAAATTTTAGATGTCCACCTACATTTGCAGATGAATGAAACTATGAAACTCGTTAACCAAGCCAAGAAGTAGGCCTCCAGAATAAACAATGTCCTGGTGCCTTTATTAACATAAGGTATCAAAAGAATTTACATTCATTAAACGAGAAAACTATTTTATTCAAAAATGACCAATCAGAATACTTCTCCAGAAGTTAGAGGTGAGTGATAAAGGAGGTCTGACCATCCAGATAGCAAGACAGTCTTCTGGTTCTTACCCAAACAGACAGCAATTTCAACAACATACAATGGCCCCAACAGCACACAATGGTCCCAACAGCTCTGATGGCTCCAACGGTCCCAACAGCTCCAATGACAGAAAAGGTAAGTTCTATCATAGTAGCTGAAGTTTTTCATTGAAAGCAATAGTAATGAAGTGTAGGAGGCTATTCCATGCAGATGGGAGGACATTAATTCACAAATATAATTTGGTTTTATATTAACCTGAGTAAATGTTTTAATTTTTCCCAACAAGGTTTATTTTAATAGTGTAACTGCAAATACATATAAAGTTATCCTCTTACATTTTACCTGTACAAGAATCATTTTTAGAAAGCAGGCAGAAAGTTGCAGGGAGATGGAGGAAGAAGTGTTTCTTTAATTTGAAGTACATTGAATTATAACTTTCTGCCTCTAGAATCCAAATTTACAACAGTACGTTTTTTCCTCATGAAAATAGATTGTGATTCTTGATTCATAAGTGCATGCAGTTCATTATGTCTCAAGGTCATTTATAAACGTTTACACCTGTCTCATTTAGATTAGTAGATACATGGTTAGGATTAATACAAAATGTGTATGGAAGGGAGGCTGTGTCAATACAATAATTTATGCACGGTTATTAACTTAAATTAGTGAATTTAATTACATTTTACAAAAAATAGGACATATGTTGGCCTAAACTTTGAAATTGTTTGGTGAATAATCCGAGAAGTATCTGAATATTCTTTATCTGTTTAAAACAATGTAAATGTATAAAGGTTTCACTTGTTCTCCTTTAAATCACTCTCTCTCTGTCTCTCTCTCTCTCTTTTCCTGGCAATTCACACCTTGGTGAATAATCCTATGTACTAAACCATTAAGGGGTTGGGGGTCTGTATAAAATAGAAGCCATGAATATTATTTATCTGTTTAAAACAACGTAAAAGTATAAAATGTTTCACTTGTTCTCTTTTAAATCTCTCTCTCGCTCTCTCCCTTACAATTTCAAATTTCAATAAAGGCAACATTTCTGTTCTCTACTTAAGACATTTTTCAAGCAAAGTCCCAAGTAGATAACTGAAATGTTGCTTTTTAAATGTGTAATTTTATTATTGAATACAATACCCTTTGAGTACTGGCTATTTCTTGGATATTGTGTATATGCTGTAGTTGAGATTGTATACATATCTAGACACATTGTTTTTAAGTATATGTAATGTTTTGGAATCCTGTACGGGAAATGGTGAACTTGACTATGCAAATATTTCCCATTATGCCATAACTGAGATTATACCTATACTGCACATGCATACAACTCAACTGTGCATTTTCTGCCACTATGCATGGTTTAACAGCCACTGTGTATTATGGGAACTCAAAAAAATATCAGCTGCCAGCCAGGAAAACGACTCCTAATAATCTCTCTCAAACCCCCCCACCCCAAAAAACAAAAACAAAACACACATACAAAATATATATATATATATATATATATATATATATATATATATATATATATATATATATATATATATATATATATATATATATATATATTTAATAAATAGCTTGGCACTCTCCTTACCAGTGTTTTATATATATATATATATATATATAGTTTTTGATGTCACAGTAACCTTGAAAAAGACCCGCAGGGGTCAAAACGTCGATTTATGTTTGCTGTAAGCACATTACTTAAATATATCACATTATTTTAGTTAAGGTCCTGCGAGTGCATCCTGGATCCTTCTTTGGCGTGTGTGTGTGTGTGTTATATAATTTATTTTAATTTTTTTTAATATATTCTATTTATTAATTTGTGGTCGGGGCAATATTGCCAAGATGGTTAGATAAACACATAATTGGTAATAAACATCATAGTTAATACCACCAGTCAGTTGTGGTGTGCCAGAACAGACAATGCAGTAGGCCTATGTATTCATTGGGGGGTGTATCTAGTAAAAAGTGATTTTTGTTTTCTAATTTGGGCAGTAGTGTTTCTTTAACCCCTTAAGGACACATGACATGTGTGACATGTCATGATTCCCTTTTATTCCAGAAGTTTGATCTTTAAGGGGTTAAACTTCAGAATCCATTTTGTTATAAAATACAGGTAATTTTAAGTATAGCCTTATGTATTGTGGACCAATTTATTTGTTTCAATATGAACCATGGACCTTAAATTGATATTCCAACCACCATGACCACTTCAGTGATTTCATGTGATCATGGTGGTAAGAGTCTGGCTGTGTATTGTTTCGGCTTAAAAACAAAAACAAAAAAAAACCCCCTGCACATTCAGAGTTTTTTAATTGTGTGCCAGGGTCTAAATGCACCACCAGCACGTGTGACCTAGGCAGCCCAGAACTCTGTTCCAGGCTGTCAAATTAAAATTTTGGGCATATTTTAGGTCTGTCATCAGCACACACAGCCTGTAAGGGGAAGATTGCTTTCCCCTCCTTGTGTTCGCTCACTCCCGCCTCCCTCCACAAAATGCAAAAACATTTTTACTCCCCTCCCCCACTCAGGCTGGAATCTGAGCCAGCAAAACAGTCCAATGATAGGCTTCTCTATGTGAATCCTGAGATCGGACCATGCGAGTGCTAGTATGACGTTGGGATGGGGAGTGGAAGACAGCGCCAGGAGACTGCACTGATTTACTTATTTTAAGCAATGAACTATAGAGAATTGTCAATTTTTTAGAATGCATTTTTGATAAGGGTTGGAGTAAACTTGGAGCACAAAGCATTGTAAAAACACAACAGTTCCAAGATTGGGAAGCAATTATAGAAAAACAGTCATAAGAAAGTAGCCCCACCAAGAAGATTGTCCTTTATAGATTATAAAGATCCTATTGTGTGAATATTATGCACAGGCTGTGTTTTTGACTAATGTTTTCCCTTATGCAGGAACAAAAAAGCTGAGTGTCCAAATGAAACCTGAAAAGAAGAGCCGATCTTTACTTCCAGAAGTCGCTGTTACAAGAATGACTGACTGGTTCAAAAATAATCTTGAGCACCCTTATCCATCAGATGCTAAAAAAGAAGAGTTTGTTAAGGAAACAAACCTCACCGTTACACAGGTAAATTATGCATTTATTCTATGAAATATTCTATATGTATTAAGGCATTTTGGCCTGTAATTGTGGGAGAGGCTTAAATTAAATCACTCCCCTATATAAGGTCCACCCCTTACCTGACTCAAGGTCAGCATCTGAATGACCCTCCCACCCACTCCTCATTCTCAACCCTTTTTTCCCCTCTATTTCTTTACTTTCATTACTCCTTGGTGGGCCCTCTTTATTTACAGGCCTACCGTATCGTCGGTCTCGGCACACCACAACCGACTTTTATACTATCCTACGTTCTTACTTGAACCTTACTTCATATACGGCTATTTGCCCCTTACAAATTAATATATATATTTATATATATATATATATATATATTTATTTTTTATTTTTTTTAAACCAAGGTCTTGTGGGCACCAATGAAATTGAACAATTTTTAATCCTACTGATATGCAAGTGCTAGCTAATGACCTCATTCCCTCTCTCTGCAGGTGAACGACTGGTTCATTAATGCCCGTCGTCGTCAATGGAAAAAATTTATTGCGGAGCATCAGAAGTCCGACGGGTCTTCTGAGTCAAATCCAGAAGCCGTCCTCATTGATTCAGACCACGAAGAGTCTCCTCCCATGGATGCAAAATATAAACTATTTATCCTAGCTTTAGTGGCATCCCAATTTCTTGAAGAACTTAACAGAGAAAATGAAAATGCATCTAAAAAGGCTTAATAAAATTGTTTACTTTTGACAGTCGTATTTTAATTTGAGTTACCTGTAAAATCAGATACCCAGTCACTTAGCAGCTTACTGATAATGGTAAGTACAACAAAAACCACCATGGATCAACTGCACATCAATATAGCATCACTCGCCTCCTTTCATTATGTTTTTCATCAAGGTTTTACAGTTGAGATTTAGGGCAATAATTAGTATTAACACCTTACGGACCCACAACAGAATAAGCCATCATGTCAGGCTAGGCCTTGAGGAACCCTTGCCTACATGGTATATTCTACTTATCAGGTAAAAGCATACCTGTAAAAAGTTTATGGTATTTTGGGAAAGTCATAGGGGCCAATATATTAGATATCCTTTAACACTTGGAAATTTGACAAACTGATTTTATATGCCTGTCTCACCTTGGAGGCAGCCCAGGAAAGAAAAATTACCCCCATGACAGCATATTTTCAAAAGCAGGCAACACAGGGTATTCCAAATGGCATTTGTTGTGGAACCGCTGCCTGTTTGTGGGTTTTCCCTGTATGTCCACTTATTCTCACTCTCCTGAATGAGGACCTTCATATATAAATACATATGGGATCTAAGTACGTTTTATTGAATTTATATAAAAAATAAAATAAAAAAAAATTTATACCATTGAGCCGGTTTACCCCATATCTTGGCAACTATAGGAACATTGATCTATTTCTAGACAATGAAAGATGAAATTGACAAGATTAATATTAGATCTCTGGAATATGTTCCAAATATGAATCTGTCTAAACAAGAAAAGAGAGCCTTGAAATCTCTTAAAGACAATGATAAACTAATCATCAAACCGGCAGACATAGGGGGTAATATCGTAGTTATGGATCTGAATAACTATACAGAGATGGTAATGAAGGTCTTGGAAGACCTTACAACCTATAAGATCCTGAAGTCTGACCCTACTGACACTTTTCTCAGAGAATACAAAGAAATTCTGGATCAGGGCCGCAGTGAGGGGTTGCTATCGGGTGACGAGTTTGAATATACCTTCAATCGTCACCCTAAGATAGCAACCTTCTGTGGTGACATTCTGTCATCAAACTAATATGGTGACCAGGGATCATGTGACCAAGCTCTTACAGTGGGATAAGCTTTACCCTTTTGAAATGTTAATTGGTAATTCAATACCTTTACTAGTCAGGAAAGAGATAACCACTTCCCCCTATCTCCATTCCTCTCTGTTCCTTCTTGGCTGTGCTACTGAGCAGTCCTTTAAGCAGACATGGCCTAATTTCTATCATGGTGAACTGTGAGTGGGATTTTATAAGATGTAGTTGTTATTGTTAGTTAGGTTGTTGTTGCTGTTGTTGGTGGTATAGTTAGTTAGATTGTGTGTCATTATTTGTATGTTGTTGTTGTTTTGTCTCTGAATAAATATTTGTTAAAGTAGACGGACCAGAGTTTATATGTGTATGCGTACATAATAATTTATAGAGTTTGGTAATACACCACATTTGGCGACCACGAATTTTAGACTTCTACAACAAATGTTTGTGAGGCGCAATAACTACCATATTGATACATAATCTAAGAGAAAGAGACTATATAGCATAGGATTCATTTTGTTGAAACAAATATACATATTTGTTTTGTTGACTGTTTTGAATTTGTGTATTGTGACTGACAGACCATATTTTGATGCAAATTGTAGCATTTATAGGTTTAACTTTGTTTCTGTACAGTTTTAAAGTATTGGTGATAAAAGGGGAAAATTGAATAGCATTGGAACCTTTGATGTTTTGGCCATTTTTAATTGCCCATGTGCTGTATTGTCTCTCTTGTTGCAACTAACTAGAATGAAACTTAATCTATTTTAATTGTTTTCTTAGGTGTTAAATTGTGGGGCTTCACTGCATTCTAAGTTAAAATAGCAAATGTTTTTTGTTGTTATCTTTTGTCTGTTTGAATCATTGAATTCAGGATAGGAGCATAATGTTTGTGCATTATGACTGACAGAACGTATTTTGTTGCAAATTGTAGCATTTATAGTTTAATTTTGTTTATACACAGTTTTAAAGTATTGGTGATTAAAGGGGAAGATTGAATAGTTGCACTGCATTGGTACTATTGATGTTTCGGCCATTTTTAATAGCCCATGTGCTGTATTGTCTCTCTCCTGTTGCATCTAACTAGAACTAAACTGAATATATTGTAATTGTTTTTAGATGTTACATTTTGTACATTTTGTGGCTTCCCTGCATTCTAAGTTTAAATAGCAAACTGTTTTTTTTTTTGGTGGGTTATCTTTTGTCTGTTTGTTGCAGTGTAAGCATGCAGAAGCCAAACACAGAAATATTGGACACAGGTCTTCAGGAAGTAACAGGCCTTTATTCACATTACCGATCGGGTCTCAGATGAACTCCTGTTCCAAAGGATCTGAGAGACCAACACATAGTGTACATTCCTTATATAACACTATAACTCCTCCCATTAATAGCTACACCCACATATACCTTTAACCAATCAATGAGCAGACTATAGACTTGTACATCTAGTCAAACCACATGGCTCATCCAAGACAAAGGAAATAAGTGCAATTTCAGTTCCTGCATTCCTGCACATGCTCAGTACACTGATGACAGTATCCTAGCTACATGTAGCTAACCAACTGACACAACATACACATATGCCACATGGAGATTTTGGCCTACTAAATTTTGACCATGCTGGAATCCCATCACATTCCCCCCTTTGATGCCTCTGATATAACATTATTCCAGATGCATCACCAATCACAGTTTTACCTACATCTCTCAAGTAGCCATTGAACCAGAGTAGACCTTGTAAGCATCTTAAAAACTCCTTCAACATTCTTCATCCTGAATATATTCTCTTCGGGCTAGGGGATCATATCTTCCAGACAGCCATTACATGGGCAGCTGTCTTTCTCTCTATAGTACTCTCTATAATACTATGTAGGGACCTTACCACTAGTGGAATTAGACAGGGCAGGAGGAGGCACAAAAAAATATAATAAATTCTACTCCTCCTACTAATGTCTTAATTCCTCCAAGCTGCTCATACCAACTTCCAAACCAACTACTTAGGTTATACCCATTCCAGACCTGAGTAGGTACATGCTCAAATTTAACCATGTGGCTTGTAAGTTCAGCCACTGCCTGCCCTTCATCATCTATGTGCAGACAACAGTTACTTAGATTAAACTTTCCGCATACACCTCCTTCTACTGCTAGTAAGTAATCAAGGGCTAGCCTATTCTGGTATATGGCTGATCACATCTTGGTATTTTGCTTAGCTAGAAGATTAAGCACTTGAGCTGTGTCATTAGTAATAATCTCAACTACCGCCTGTAGTCTAATAATGCGGTTGAGCATATATAATCGGAGTTCTATATCCATAAGTGCCATCTTCTGCCTAAGTAGCAGGTCCATAATAATTAATAATACGTTGAGGGGGCCACTCATTATCTTCCCAGCTACCTGTATTCAAGGATGCTCTCTCCCTTTTATGATTTACATCGTAAACCTTAACTCCCAAGGTCTCTCCTGTTTCGATTGGCAACAAGAAGAAGGATGACTTTGGCATACCTAATACACATGCCCCTTCCCAATCTTGTGGTAACTCCGAATAAGTTTTCTTACCACAGATCCAGTATAAATTTGCTGGGGCTTTCCAACTAGATGTAGCCGATAAGTCAAACCATACCTCCTTTAAATGAGTGTAATTGGCAAACGGATTAGTAGGTTCCGAGACATTTGAAGCTGACCACCAAGTAGTATTTTTAGTATTAACATTATAGGCTTTTTGTCCCAAGCAAGTTAGCTCACCTACAGACGTGTTATACATTGTCCCTTTCCTGGCTATACAAACATGACCTATAATGGAGGTTTTTAACCCATTACTTCTAGTACTTACTTGATGATCAGACTGGAAAGGTATCTGTTTCATATGTCTCAGAGCCAGGGTACCATATTTCCTTTGCCTCCCATGGCCACTGGTCTCCCATATTAGTACCTCCACACACATAGCAATTAGTTACATTAAGACTACCTGCAATACCCTCAGCCAAATCAATAAATAGGTTGTTAACATTATGGGGAATTTTATCCTCAGTACTCATCTCCTCATAAAAGGAATGAGAAACCTGATGAGTTTGAGTTGCCACTGTCTCAGTTTCAAGACCTACATATATTATTGTTCCTGAATCTACTCCTGTGCCATATATTTGAAACCCAAACAGACCTCCAAACCTGTCAATAAAGTACTGCAGATTGGAAATGGTCATGTGAACGGGGTTGCACACATAGTTTTACAGTATGGTGTGGTAGGCAACCTTTGGATAATCATATCTTGATCCACTGTTTTTCCCAGGTTGCCCAACCTACACATGACCAATAGGGGCAGAAGTTAGTCTCTATTTGGGCAATCAGGATCAGTAGATCTTTTACTGGGACATAAGTATTTATCATTAAACCCATAAGTTCGTTCCCATTTAAGATTACCACATACATTCCAAAGTCTTCCACTACCCGAAATCGCCTTACATGCATCAAATAGTAGAATACCCGCGGAATGTATGGTGCTTATCACAGTCCTATTTATTAATGTGGTATACGCCATCTAAGACAATCTTCTTCGCTTAAATCAGAGGTAGGAGTGAAGATATCAGGTGGCGCAGTTAGTGCAACAGTTCTGCTGCTGGAACAGCATCAGAGTTAACCCATACCTTGATTTTGCAGCACCTGCTCTAATCTTCTAAGAAATCCATCTGCACTTTGAGAGTATTGTGTGAGTGGCATAGGCCCTGTAGTGAGTCTTGCATAGTAGACATGTTTGTCTTGTTGTCAAGGATGTCCTCAGAGGATCTGACCCTGTCTGTGACTGCTTTGATTTCGGTCTTGACTACAGCAATGTCTGCAGCAAATCGTGTTTGAAATTTTCTGAAACAAGTTTGGGGGCTGTGTGGTAGGGTGATGCAGCGTGGTGGACTTTATATTCGT